ATATATATATATATATATATATTTATGGATCTTCCTGGTAGTGTATTCTTACAGTATTTAATGATCTTACATGCGTTAAATATATTAAATAAGTTTTTTTGCAAAGCCTATTTTATTATTTTTGGAAGGTTTCCCGAGCTTTCCTGAGAAAATAACCATTTTTTCATAAACGTTTGGACCTTCAAAATGATAAATTTATAGGTTTCAAAGGTGTCGGTTCTAGGCAAAAAATGGCCATTTTTATACACCCTCCTTTTGGTATTCAATTTATTCTTAATCGTTTATATAAACACTTTTATGTATTATAAATATATACATATGTTTAACCAGTCAAATATTATCATTTTTATTACCTTTTAAATTAATTTTTATATTCTTTTAATAATTAGAACTGAAATCAGACATACAGCAGGAGAAGCGCAGTATGAGGTGCAGGGCTATTTCACTTTATTAATAAATACTAAACTACAGTGCAAATATTGTCCCGAAGCTAATTCAGATACCGAATGTAATAAATATTTATTAAAGGAACATTTACTTCAACATGGTGTCAATGTGATGACACAACATGAGTAAGTACAAATGTAGAAACCAACTAATTAAAATATAAAATTAGAATAAAATACACACATATATATAATAAATTAATAGTTAAAGAAAAACACGAAGTACGTTTTCTCATCAGAGCGTTTATTATAATATTTACAAATCCGAATAAAAATGCGTTTCTGATTATAATATATCATCGTTGTTTTTGATCTTCAATCTGTATTAAAACCTATCAAGTTAAATAAAATTCTTTCTGTATGCGTTTTGACAAGAACAATATAAAGAAAAGCCAACGTAAACTTTTTAAATTTTGTTTATAAGTTTCATTAAATTCTTAAAATTTTTTATAAATTTTTTCTGGTTATATGGAATGGAAAAAATATATACAATGGAAATACCGAGAATATTCAAGAAAATACTGGATAATAATTACTTATTGGCTGGAAGTTCTTGGCAGTGTATATACATTTAAAATTATATAAATATATATTATACATACATATATTTTTATTTATTGTATTATAAATCAGTAAACATAAATTTTATATAGTATTATGTATAAAAAATTTTTCATATTTTTAATGAGTAATACATCCTCTATGTTGATGCAATTAAGAATTAATTTACTTACATATATATTTTTAACTTCGTCTAGCGACAAGGGAAGTCGGGGACGGCATCGGTGGTCATTTTAGCCGGCGGATAACAGTTGCTTCTTTTCTTCTCTGGTTCTAGGAGTTTTAATCATTACTGGGTCGGAAATTGCGCCAGATTGAAGATCCGCGCGTTCGAGATCGACGATAGTTATTTTAATGCAAACGAGAAACAATAAGTTTAGCGCCAGAACGTTTCTTGATTCTCTCCCCCTTTTCTTGTCGTTAAGTTGATGACTTAGAACTTGCAACGATCGCGAAGAAAAATTCTAAGTCCGTGACTGAAATTTAGGAGCGCAGCAGGACTGCTCGTGACGTCGAATTGAGACGAAAAGAAGAAAGAACACTCGCGCTCAGAGGCATGGTCTTATATAGAGACCCTCTAATCAGAGTCGCGAAATGACGCAGGAAAGTTAGGTCGAACAACGCCATTTTTCAGCAAAAACCGGAAATAGCGAACATTATCACACTATTATATTAGCCATGTTGGCTGTGTTGTAAAATGACATGTGTTACAAAATGACATATATTAACCTATAGACACATGGACATCTAAATGCAAATGTCAAAATATATTATTAAAGTGTTTTTTTTGTGAAATTTAGTATTAGATAAAAAAATTAATAATAATATATTAATTGATAATGGCATTTGACCATGGCTATTTCCGATCTTTGCTGAAAAATGTCGGCACCAATCAAAATTGGATTCCTGATTTCGCGACTCTTATTAAAGGGTCTCTAGTCTTATATGGTCCGGCGCGACGCGGTGTGAGGTAAGGAGAGCTCGTGGAGCGCGCGCTTCTCAAGGAAAGAGTCTTTCTTAACGAAAAATCTTTCTTAGCTTTTGTTCTTTACTTCATTAATTATCTAGATAGGTTCAAATTTAATTGTCGAATCACCATGCGACGTTTCTCTTTATTCATTTTTATTCAACTTTATTCATTTTTATTCAACTTTATTCATTTTTCTAATGTATGATTTTACTATTTCTAAACCGGTGAGAAAAAGCGACTGCCGGTGTCAGTGCATCATCACGAACTTGCGTCTGTCGCTATCTTGTGTGTAATCTTACATTTGAAAATTCTTAACTACAAATTTTGAGCATCCGAATTAAATATAATTAATTATTTTTTAGTAGCCATGTGAACCAACTTCCAAACATAACTGCTGTGGTATAGAATTCTGAGAGCGGCGTCCCGTGTGTCAAAGATAATTGAAACGGCTAAACGTGAGAACGGCTGGCTCGTGGTCAGATTTGTCGCTGAATACGCGCCGATAACGCATATTTCTTAATCTGTTATTTAAATTGCTAAAGAATGGCTAAATCGCTATTTATTATCTTTATATTTGTAGGCTATGTCTGATTGGTGAGGCGGTGTGGCGGTGTTGTGCATGGTTTCGCGGGCTTCATCCACGTGCACGACGATATTGTTTTGTAATCAATTGTTATCGAATTGTTGATTAACAAGCCTTAAAATAAAGGTAAGTGTGGGTTAATATGCGAGGAGGCGGGGGGAGATTCTTCGTCTTTTCAAAGACTTGGAAACAATAATCTTGTCTTGTGACGAAACGAGTTAACTTCTCGTGTTAGCCGTACTCGCTTGATTTAGCGCCGCCTGATTTCTTTTTATTTCCTAAATTTTAGAATTGCAATTAAAGAAACGAGAATTAAGAATATATTATGTATCATCGATCCAACAGAATGTAATGAGAGAACTGAAAGCAATTCGCGAAAAAGAGTTTTCTTGCGCATTCGATTTGTCCTATAAGCGTATACAAATGTTCGAAAGCGGGACGGGATTATGTTGAATGATGGTAGCATAAGAAAAATTTTTTCGATCTTCTTTTGTGTATTTTTTATAACTTCAGGAGAGGGAATTATGTTGGATGATGGTATTAAGAAAAATTTTTTCGATCTTCTCGTGTATGTATTTTTCTAAGTCTGAAAACTTAATTGTCACACTATGGTATACATACATACAGGATATAAAATATATGTACAAATTTTGAACATCCGAATTAAATATAATTATTTTTCAGTGACCATGTGAATCAGGCATACTAATAATCGGAACGGGTGAGAATGGCTGATCCGTAATCAGCTTCCTCGGTGCGCACTGATAATGTATAATGTATATATGTGTATACTGTATACTAATGTACATTTTAAATATTAATTTCTGAATCTATTGCATTTTTTCCTCTTTTTTCACTCTGTATGCATATATGCATCAAGCACTTCAAGAAATCAATAATCGAACGAATTATATTACAAATTTTCATATAGAGATATAGCAGAAAGTCAATTAAATACCATCTATCTTATAAAATCTAACCCAATCATCTAAAAAACAAGAGAAGAAACAGACGCCCGTGAGTAAGTAATTATTTGCTTGAGTATTCGCTTCGACTATATTACATGTCGTAAAGGAATTTTATAAATTGAATATTTATCTATTTTTTTTTTATAAATTACACTACTTAATTTACATATGAATAATCTTAGTGTTATGTCTTATTAAATTTATTTATCTATTTATTTATTTTTTAACTGTGCATTTATAAAATCACAAAATGTTGAAATTTTTTCTAGTTCTTCAAAGAAAGTAAAACATTTCAATGAAATCATTAAATTAAAAGATTCTACAAAAAATGGAAATACAATATTATTAAATGCAGTTAATGTGAAGAAACTTACCTTGAAATAATAGAAGTATTAATTAGAAGTGACTTTCTTAAACATAAGATAATTGAAAACAATCGAGTACTTTTCTAACTGCAAGAACAATACAAGAATCATACAACAATGTAAGGCTGTTTAATCATTGTTTCAAAATGTACATTTATGTAAAAACTTCTATGATTTAAAAAGCACTTGATAAAACAACATGTAAACAAAGAAAATAATTTTCTTATCACAAATATATACATACATTCAAGATTAAAATCTTAGAAAAATATAAATTAGATATTAGTGATGAAACTATCAATAGTAAAGAAAAGTGTAATGGACACAAGTTTTCACATATAAGCACCAATATAGTATATTTACAATTTCAATCAGTAATACGCGTTTTTTATTATAATAGTGTTTCTGGTCTCAAGTTATTATTAAATTTGTCGAAAAAATAAAATCAGTTTTACACGTGTTTCAACAAATAAAAATAATATGTGCACGTACGCACGCACGCATGTAAGATAGTTATTTAACATATTTATAATTAAATACGCGTTATATTTTAAATATCAATATCAAATTTGGAATTTGAATTAAATATTTTCTTATTGAGATAATACCGCATTTTGTTTCATTATAAATTTTTTTTGATAAAATCATTGATCGCTTCATTGAAAAACATCTGATTGTTTACAGTTTCAAAAATATTTTATTTATTTTATAGAAACACATCCTGAAATAATGTATATACTTTTCACAAAATATTTAACTTCACACATATTTTTTTTTTATATTACAACAGGAAATCAACTTGTATTTTATTAATTATTTTTAACAGCAAATATGTAAAGAATTAATTTGATAAATTCACCGTCCATTTAAATCCTGAAAATAACATTTTTAATTAAATAATATAAAAAGGTGTATTATTTAAAAACTTTAAATCATTTTATTATCGCATTTCCTGTTTTTCTATTCATATATGCAGATATACATCAAGCACTTTAAAATCAATGAACAATACTATTTACATAGATGAATTATAAAAAATCAAGTGTCCACCAATCTTACAAGATTTAACTCAATCATCTAGAAAACAAGAGAAAAAACAGAGACACCCCTAACAATAAGTAATTATCCACTTTAATTGTATTACTTACTGTAGTGAAATTTTATGAATTGAACATTTACTTTTAAATTTGTTACATTTACATTTTTATGAATTAAACATTAAGAATAAGAATAAATGGAGAATTTTTTAATTAATTTTTATGGTATTAAATATGGTACTTTTCATAATATAAATATGGTACTTTTGTATTATTTTTATAATATATATATTTTTTATACAAATATGCAATAAATGAAAATTATGTTACATGTAAATGTTATTCTCTCCCTTTTTCTCTCTTCCACCTCTCTCTTTTAATTGTAGTTTCAGAATTATATAATTTAGAATAATTTATATTAATTCATAATTAACCAATTACATTAATTATATTAATTGATCTAGTGACTGAAATTCATATCGTAACATTAAAGGCTATAATAACTAGAGCGCAGAAATTTATACAATATACATATATACATAAACAATATCGTTATGACAATAATCAATATAATATTACTGCTAAATTGTTTGTTGAGAATGCTTTTAAATTGTTTCAAATTCAATTGAATTCTATTTTAACCAAAGATTTATTAGAAGTTCAATTTGTAAGATTTTCATTGTTAAAAGTAATTATTGAAGGATATTCGTAATAAGGATATAATTGGCAGAGGCAATTTTGTTTTGAATGCAAATTTATTGACACAGTTTGCATCTTATCGAGTTTTTAGGAAGGTATTCTATTGAACGCCGCCCAAACTATCACTGTGTTTCCTGTAGTGTGAAACCAATATTGCCAAACTCGTCAAGCTTGTCATTGCGATATAACTATATCATCTGTTAATAATCTATCCTCGTTATGACCGAAATTTCTGGGTATTAATTGTCATCCCCAGATAATAATTGATAGACGTCACGTTCAGTCCGCGTATTAATTGCGTTACGTAGCGGTCGACATGTCGATGCGCGGCGTCAAGAGATTCAATTTTTTGAATCAAAATTTGGAGCGAGGAAAACGTTGTTACGAAAATTAATTGGCACAATATTCGGAGAAAATAAAGCTGAAAATAAGAGCCAGGGAGAGGTAACCATTTTAGAATCGGTTCTTTTGGATTCAAGGAATTAATTAAGAGTCCAAAGGCTTTAGAAATATTAATTTACAATCTTGTATATGATATCAAGAAAACCTCCTGAAATTTTTATACGCTATTTATTTTGTAGAGCATTCTTATCTGAATCGTTTATTTTGAAATCCTCGGATTTGATTTACGTTCGTCTTTCAAAATCTGTCGCCTGAAAAATTGTCTTATCTGTATCAGCTTGGATTTTCCTTAAAAATTCGGTGCATCTTTCGCAATGACGCATTCGCAATGTAAATGCAACGGTAAGAAACAAATAAGTCTCCCGACAAAGGCAGTCATTCTGATGTGAGAATCGCGAAAGAAAGATAGTGGGATAATCCGTCCGTTTATCTTCCTTAGCTACCGTATAATGGAAAGCTACTTATTTCCCTTTCGCGGTTAGATTGAGGATTTACAGCCGCGAATCTGTAAAAGTGATAGTCGGCCCGAATCGCGGATTCCGTTTCGTATTCTAAAAAGCACTCCGTAAGCGATATATTTCGATAGGCGCTATTGATCGTCTAAAAGCGGCTTGAATTATTCACAGATCGGAGAGCACCTAAAAATCTAATATTCGAAAAAACTCGGATAGAAAAATGCTTTCATAAAAATGTAAAGATCTAGCAGTAAAAATATCTAAAAATCAAGAGGTCTAAAATATGATAAAATCCAAGGATTTTTTCGATGCTGTAAAACAAATGATGGAGAGGAAATTAATATTCGCTATATAATTCACATTCACTGCTTTATAATTCAAAAAACGTTTTTAAAACAGTTTTATTTAAATAATACAAAGATAAACGTGGAAGGTAAATTTGCAGATGTTCCTGCATGAAAATAATTAGATATGTGTATCGGTCGTATTTCAAACGGTACTCTCTATCACATTGAATAAAAGAAATTATTGTAAAGGGTCGTAAATAAAATAACGGCATTTACCTTTGTCGTTGCCATCATCAACTTTTCCAAATAACTTCAATGTATTTTTACAATCCATGTTATACTTTAATTAATACAATATAGGCCATAGAGTAATTAATCACTGACCTTCAAACAAGCATTGACTCCGTTTTGTTCATGATATATTTCACAATTTCGGAACATTTCGATCTATTTTTAACAAATGCAATTCACAATATATTACGATTCTTTTACATTTGAATCAAACTTTCTTCTCTCGTCTCTATACACAATTAGTTTTTTTTTTTAATAATATTTACACATTAATAGTTTAGTACAACTCTGTGTGAATTCAGAACGTGCATAAAGAAATGGGAATTGATTATAGTGCCCTTTGAGGAGAATTTATTGAATTAACTTCTCCTCGGCGAAACTTTAAAGGGAGAGCTAATTATCACATGAAGTAGCGTAGCGGTTCTGCAGTCTTTGGCGTATCTCTCTTTCATTTGCCAACTTTACGTCTATATTTGTACATCTCTTCTAAAAAGAAATGCGCAAAGACATGCAAAATGAGAAGTTGGGCTTTGAAGATTTTAAATATAGATCAATACCTTTTTATATGTGTGTTCTCGACACACGCGTTAATTTGTAAAAATCCTAAATTCTTTTTGTGCAAAAATTCGAAAATCCTGAAAGACGTGACTCTCTTTTGCTACTTGTCATTTTTATGTTATTTTTTATGTTTAATCAAATTAAGCTAAAGAGTTTAGAGAATTAATTGTGTCACATTGATCTCACACACGAAGAGATCGCATCTTGACCGAGCGTTTAAACGCAAATCATAGAATCCGTAGAATAAAATGTTAGATAGACTAACTATAGAAATTTAACTTATTTAACTCATTATATCCATGGATATAAAGAACTTGATGTTTATTGAAAAAATACGTATCTACGTTTTCTATCCAATTCCCATTTTTCCATGCACGGATGACAGTTTTACTGATTAGTCGACCATTTTCAACGTGGGTCGACGTTCACGTGAGAATAAAATCGCTCTTTATATTTGAATTTCGTAATTATTTTCAACAATCACATATATATCGTATATACATATATCAATGTTTATATTAATATTATTATATATCAACTATTATTTGCAAAAACAGATAATTTGTCATGAATCCTCAATATCATACTAGAACAATTATGACAAAATTAATAGGAGGTGTCTATTATTCAACCCAGATATGCCCTATACTCTATATATAGGTACCTATTCATCCTGTTTATAATTAAGTGACATCGCAGCTTTGTTTGTAACAACGTTTTTTCCCTTTTCCTCATCCTCCTCTCCACTTTTCGTTTTATGCTGCATTTGTGGCAATATTGTAATGGTATCTTTGGACACAAATTTATTACTTATATACTTGGAACCATAGAGAAAGGCTCGCTACAACTACATCAAGGCACACATCTGGGTCAAACATAAATATATATCCATATGTATTGCATTATGATAATACTCGTTTCCCCCCACCCCCGATTGTAATGATCTATAATCTCTAGGAGTGAAACTCGATAACTGTATCTGGATAAAGAGGTATTACAATATCATACGACGACGTATTTATAAAATATATGGAATAAATTATAGATTTCGTTACAAAAATTAGTCAATATGCACCGAATATGCACAAAAACACTTAACGAAACAACCGTGTACCTTTATAGTTCATATTGTTCCCCTCTCCCATTTTTTATGCTTACCACGGAGATCAGTAGAATAATGGACTGACTAAAATTGCTACATGTCAAGAAAAATATACGATCCTTATAAGTATCGCAATGCAGGTGGTAATATACATGCATCCTTGTTGAGAAAATAGTGCGCGTGATCTTAAATAATTCTAGGAAAAGGCAACGTGTACACATTATACATGGATTTAACAAGATTTTGCTAGATGGAAGAGAACGGCTTATTTGCTTAATATACTCAGCCCATTACTATTTTTATGTATTCCCCTTGTAGACTTTTATCATTAAACAGAGCTGATTTGGATAGACGAACCAATAGACTCCGTTTCATTGTGTGCCCTTAAATTAAGAGAATTTTCCATATTACTACCATCGGTAACGTCACTACTTAACGCCAGTCTCTCGCCGTCGATCAACGCCACGTTAGGATCTATTATGATCGTATTATTTTCTACATTATTTTTCTTTCGGATCGCACATCCGTTAACATTTGCATCGATTTCCGCCTGCTGCTCACTATTTGTCATCGATAAATTTCCTTTAATGCTCTCCTTCGACGTCGCCTGAGAGGCGAGCTTCTTCTCCTTTTCGAACAACGCGACGTGAGCATTTTTCGTTACCTTCCCCTCCTTCTCCTTAGGTTTCTTCCCGAGCACAGGGAAATTCGCAATCTTCGAAGCAGTCTTTTGATCCTTTGATTGTCTCATGGAACCAATGCGGTTCGGCTCTGTTGATTCTGGTTCCTCTATGATTGACACCAGGTTACCTTTACCCTCTCCGGTAGTGTCATCTTTTATAACTTGTATTGGTATGTCATCTGAAGGCAAAAGAAAACGGTTTCTGTATTATAAGAAAAGAAACTTTTATCGCCAAGTTGGAGTTGACAATAATAAAAGCGATATTGAAGTTTAACAAGCAGCTCAGAGGCAAGGAACATATATATATATATATATATATTGCATGATTCGTTTAAATTACACATGAAATGTGTATGCCATAGATACAATTTGTTTATATTCGCCTAGAATAGAATATAAAAATTGAACATTTAAATAGCATATCAATTGCACTGTGCGTATGCAATAGAGGGAAAACAATTTTTTAATCTTGACAAAGAAAGAGAACAAGAGATATTTTTGCAAAATTTGTGTAACCAATATCACATTCGTTTTCCTTCTATCAATTATATGTAATAATACACAGATATGTAAGTGGATTTTTGAAACATTTAAGGAACACATGTATGTGTAGAGAATATTATGTAACGTTATAGAGACAGAGAATGTACAGTGCAGAAACTTATAATATAATAAGGGGAAAAAAAGAGAAAGAGAGAGAGATTGCAAAAGTAATATTCAAGTGAGAGCAGTGAGAAACAGAGTAGTAGGGAAGGAAACATCGAATACATTTTCTAGTCGAGCAATATACTTGAAATTCTTGGTGCGGGAAGATAAATGTGCCATGTCGACATGCATGTTTTCCAGTCATGCGCTGGTTTCTGTTTAGATTTTGTTTTATGCGTATGTCTCATTATAGCTGGGAGTGGTATTTCTGAAAGGAATACATCCACGAGTCACATGAATTATTATAAGTCAACAACACATTCCTGCGTGTGCGCTAGTGTTTTATACCAAATGAAAAATATATAATCGCAAGTTTGATGGGGAATTATAGCGTGATGAGAGATTTACGCCATTACTCCTACGGTGTTGTAACTGGAGTGATAATACCATGTGTTTTGACGAGAGTGCGGCAGTGGCATAATATTGCATTGATCTACTACTGTTGCCTTCTGTATATACATTTTCCACCGATTCACGAATGATCTCTCCCAGAGCCTGTTCCTCTAACAAGCTATACAGATGCGCGTTAGCGGCTGCCAATCTGTCGTCGGGGAAAGTGGAGTCGCACATTACGTTACTATTTTTCCGACTTTTCTGACCGATATCGTCCTTATTGTCGACCGTTCTCTTTGACTGCTGATCTTTGCTCTTTTTGGGAGAGGACTTTATCGGCGAGCTTTGGCTGCTGCTGCATACACTTCCACGTCTAGAACTTTCCAATGAGGAGGAAGCCTGCGCCTTCCCTACGCCCGTGTCCCTCTTATCGACCGAATTTGGAAGTGCGTGCTTCCAATGCCATGGACGACGTTTGTGGCTGCCCGATACTGCCGGTCGCTGTTGCTTCTCGGCTTGACAATTGCTCAATTCGACCGCAAATAACTTCTCATCCAGATCGTCTAATGACATAGACGCGCAATCCACATTTGTTTGGACTTTTTATATTACTCTCTAACTAATACATATTTTAAACTTTTACACTGTGCGAATTTGGTTCAACATTTTCATATATTTCATTATTTATAATGACATATTATATTTTACGATTTGCGATTTATTAATGAAATCAAACAATACAGATGAAGGGGGGAGGGAACATGAATAGTACATTGTATGTGATTTTTCCAAAAATGTGTGCAGTTAATGTATCAATATATTTGCTTGTTTTGGGCTAACTATTCATTCATGGAACAAAAAAAAAACGTTTTTAATTCAGCAATAATTTCATAAAACTTAGAGGGATGTCACATGCAAGCTTGGACCTAAAAGTACTCGACACATTCATGTCCATGCATATATCCGCTGGTGTATTATTTATGTTTGTTGTATATATCGGGGCTTGTGTAAGAGAGATAGCTAATTAATTATTAAACACACACAATTTCATTTATACGTGTTAGCTATTTTAATGGAAAACATAGCTATGATGTTAACACTGTTAATACTGTTAGTATTTTAGCACCTTTATTCACCAGAAATATTCGCCAATGTACAAACTTGCGTAAAACACAATAATTATATGTAAAACAATAATTATTTAATTTGGAGCGTATAATTTCATATAACATGAATTTTTCATTAGTGCCAGATAAGAAAATTAATAGAAATGAATATATAAATATATTGTTATTGCGTAATAAATTTCGATAAATGTAATAGTATTTGTGTATTTCCTTGAAAAATGATTACTACAATTTTATTTTTCGTTATTATTTCTGTCTCTACATTTACTCTTTTTTACATGTCGTCGTAATAAGATTAATGCTTTATAATAAATATAAACAAAATATATAAACATACCTGGTAATTTCTTAGTACGGAAGGAAGCGTTTGTGATCATAGACTTTGAAACGGTTGGTGTAGTAGTTGCTGGGGACAATGCAACACTAATTCCAATTGGTCCATCGCTCGGTTGACCTGAATAAACAATAAAAGTGATTACAAAAGATCTTTACGTAACATATCTTACTTTCACAATTAGCTTATTGTTAGTTAAATAGTACAAGCATTACGTCTGTCCCTACAGTGGGAATTACCTGGTGCTCCAGAACTGGCAGAGTTGCGTATTGCGTTGGTAACTAACATTACATTTGGATACGCTTCGTAACACGCTCTGTTATGAATATCTTCTATAGCTTGATTTCCTACATACCAGCATTCGTTATACCTACAAAAACAAGGACATTACGTTTATATATGAAGGAATATATGTCTATATAAAAAAATGCAACACTAGCAAATTAATTCAAATGTTATTATGATTTGACAAAGTCGAATGTGTTAATTAAGTATGTAATAAGAAAGATGTAGAAAAACCGAAATGCTGTAAAAATGCTGTTAAATTCGCAAAATGCATAAATTACATACATGGCAAAATATACAGCATGCAAGAATTCCAAGAGAAATTGGCTGGATACTGGTATACGTGGTAAAAGCCTTGGAACAAAGCTAGACTCACTGCCGTATGAGGAACGTTGATGATGTCCCGGTTTCATAAATCCTTGAGTAACAAGTCTGCAACAGAGGGAAAGCATTGCATTGCGATCGAAAATAAAAATAAGCGACCTTCGCACAGCCGAGAATTACAGTACAGAACTTACTTTGTTGCAACCTTGCACAATTGTTCCATAGCAAATTTATTTATATATCCAAGCTGTTGATTATAAATAAAAAGTAGGGCTGTCATAACTTTCAATCTATTTTGCGCGTTTAACGTTTCTACTTGCTGCAACGGACCCCAGCTCACGAGTTTCGAGTTACACTCTTCAAAACGACGTACTGCGCTTTCGGTCAGTGAGGCTGGCGCTAGACTCGCAGGCTGTTTCAAGAAATATATTACAATGAATAATTATGAAATCTAACAATTTATAGTAATAATGTAAGATAATTTGGAAAATATATTTTTGTATTCTTAGCAGAATTCTCTTTCAATAATATTATTTATACAAATTAAAAATATTTCTGTATTAAATATTATATTTATGAAGTCGCAAATTTTACAGTAAGATACTCGCTTAACTCCATTCAACGCTAATAAACTAACGCTCAGTAAAACGATATTTTTTCTGCAAATTCGAACTCGCTGTCGGTTCCAATTTACTAAAATGATATGCTAGCGCAATATGATACGTTCAAGTGTCCGATAATACCTAAGCAAAGCGCTAGTGCTGTAAGTTTTAGAAACTTAAGTCATCTGAATATTACTCTTATTGCACATCTATAAAATGTCTATGATTACTTAAGCATTTATACCTATTTCCAGATATGCATATCAAATATAAATATATGTGCCAACATACCTCATGATATATGGATAACATAGCAAGGGATGGTAATCTAAATGAGATCGCTTTTTGTTGTCCTGATTTATCGACCACCTCTAGATTATATAATCCAATCAATAGAGTCTCAAGGGAGCGACAACTCTGAAAATTAGATATTATTAACAAATGTACCGTTTGAATTTATTTATAAAATTTACTATAATTTGTCAAGAATACTTTTTCATGAGAATTATAATATAAGAAAAAAATTAATCTAGATTAATCTAGATCCATACAACTTTGTAATTCCATGACAATAAGGTAACACAAAATATTAGTTTATTTGTCATGTAGATTACATATCGTTTGCATTACATAATTCTGGTTAAGTATCAATTATACATCCATGACTGGCATAAAACATGATTGACAAATGACATGAGGTAAAAAGTAAACTGATAGGACATTATTATCTAATTATCTACGCTATCCTTATTATCAATAAAAGTACAAGTCTTACCTTGATATCACCATGTGCAGCAGAATTTAGATAAATATATATTAGCGTTGGTAGAAATTGCAGAGTGAACCTTTGTAACTCTATTTCCCGAGACCGATAAAAGTTGTACAATTGGTTACACACTTCGTCCATTAACTGTAACAATAATATAATATTAAAAAAAACGTATCTAATTTTAAATATTTTTTATAATGACAGTAGCATGCGTCCTTTTGATAAATACAATCGTTGATATATTCTATTATTTACAAATAATGTTAATTAAAGATTTGTTTTTTTTATTGCTGCGCTGGCTTGTAATAAAACTTTCCTTCTTGCTTTCGCTAAATTTTAAACATGTAACTGGAACTAAATTCCAAAATGTTGCTTTTGAAGAAAATTTTACTAAAAAAGCTACAGTTTTCGTTACATATGCTATAGCTTTTTAGGAAAATTTTCCTCGAAAGCAACATTTTGGAATGCAGCCAAGATAACATAAAATCCAAAATCAAAATATAAAACGTCTTAAAGATATCTTTGTGAAAGACGTTTAAAAGATGTCTAAAAGATATCCCAATTTAGAATTTTATGTTATTGAGCTATTTCACAAGTAGAAAGGAGTGAATTAATTCAGCTATAAAAACAGACCTTCATTAAGAAATTATCTTTGATGACTCATACAAGTATATCTTTTTCTCACTGCGTGCCAACGATTATGGCCGATATTTTTTTTTTCTAAACAAGTGCACGATGTGTGATTCACCTAAGGTGCTGTCAATGCAGGGAATTCGATAGCAAACACAATCGCTTCCAAGAAATAGCAAGCACTGTCTCCGGGGAGACTAGAATTCCGCGTAAACAGAATGAACGCGTGTTCCCCCGCAGCGTTTGTATCATACCTCGCTGTACTTGGTGCGCTCCTCCAGGAGCATGTAGAGCGCCCGCACGATCTCATTGTCCTGCGAGAGCGTTCTGGCGAACATGTGCAGCTCCGACGGCGCGACGTCCTTGCAGTCGGCCAGCCACTCGCTTATCAGGCTCTCCGTCATTTTCGGCCGGACGTTCCTCGCCTTTGTCAACAAATCGGCTGCAGGGTCCTCTTACCGGCGGCGCCTCGGTGGAGTCTCGGCTTCGACTGCGACTCGCTGGCCGTCACCGTCGCGGGGGGGGACACGGGGCTCATCACACAGGCTTAACGTGGTGGGTAGTCGCGCGGTCGGTCGCGCGCGGCGCATCAAAGAGGAAGACGAGGACTTTTACCGCGCCAGGAGTCCGGTTTACATGCCGCGGGCCCGCGGCCTCCCGTCCCGTCCGCCGTTCGCCGACCCCGACCACCTGGAGGGCCCCACACCTGGGGCGCGAGTAGGCGACAAGTCGACGCGAGGCCCGCGCCGAGGTTATTCGCCCGCGCCGTCCAATCCCTTCGCTGCCGCTGGCAGCTGCCGCTGGCAACTCCGCACCAATTCCCAACTCCGACCAATCGCGTTACGCAGTCGCGTAATTATCGCGCAAACGAGCGAGCTCGGGCAAACCGCGGCACTCCGTCCCGACGAGGACGGCGGTCCATCGGAGGAGGAAGGTAGAGGAACAACACGCACTCCACACGACACGGATTCCAGGCACGGTTTCGGCCCAGCTGCTGCACCCCAGCTGCACCTGCACCTCCTAGCGCGCCGCAACTACCTGCTGTTCGATGCGCGCGACGGCAGCCAGCCGCGGCTCCGAAAGTCTCGCGTATCCGATCACCGGCGGCGGGCGACGAAGAGGCGATTTCAAGTGTAACGCTCCGAGAAATATATAATGTGTTACGCAACGTTGAATTAATCGACCAGAGCGAAGCTTCGAATCTTTCTCCGACCGACAGCCATGGCGTATGGACAGCCTGTAGATGCGCGTCCCCTGTTTAAAAACCAACACGGCTGCGCATTTGGCCTAAAGGTGGTGTTCAACGCGGTCTCCGATCTTTAAGCTTAAGATCGTTTCAATTTATAGATCTCGAGATACCAGCTGTTTGTACTTACGTACGATTTATTTCACTGGCAGAATGGATTTTCGGACAGAGCTTCCGATTATATTTTATATTTCAGATCAGAAGTGCTATCGTCTTGTTAGATGGACTTTTGGAACTGGACCTGTCAAACAATCTCGAACACGATCAGATCTTTTAAAGTGCCGTCCTAAGAATAGTACTCGCAGAATGAATTCAATGTGTCTTGTAATTAAGACAGTTCCAAGCACGATCTCTCGAGGTAAATAAAACATCGTTCATTTGGCCAGCTGGACAATTTTAAGGCAGGACGTCCCACGAATATCGGTACCTAGAATCCACCTGTCACCGAAGCCGATGGTGACGTCACGCTGGGTGACAAGTCGCTCCGCGCTCGGCGAGCGTCGTCGGGACTCGGCTTCGCTTCGCAGTTCGCGACGACGCGACACGAGTAGCTGCGACTGACTTCTCGGTACTTGATTGCGCGTCGGGGTGTTATCGCGACGGGGCGAGACGAAAGAGAGAGAGAGAGAGAGAGAGGGAGAGAAAGAGAGGTCCCCAACACATCACTCTCTCCCCTGGTACGTGCGTCGTCGGTGCGTGTGGTGAGTGGTCGCATAATACTGTGGCGTGGTGTCGTGTGTCGGAGGACCGCTGACATTGAAAGTATCCCTGCGATAAGTGGTGCCGCCGTCGCCGCCGCCGCCGCCGCCGTCGCCGCCGCCGTTGTCGTCGTGCGTTCGCCCGATGCTGAAATGAAGCAGAAGCGCGTCATGTATGGCGACGCGCGGAAACTGTGCGAGAGACGAACGCAATCGGCCCCGTACGGGCCCAGCCTCGCGTCGGACTAACGATCAATGGCTTTATTCGAGAAGAGATACACGAATAAAGTGCTGTTAGATGATACGGAGCAGCTGACGAGCGTCATCGAAAATGCGAGGACCATCGACGGGCATACGGTACGTTGAGCTCCCCCCCGGTATTATCCGCTCCCTCTTTCACTATCTCGCTCCTTCTCTGTCTCCCCCTTTTGTGTGTGTGTGTGTGTGTGTGTCTCTCTCTCTCTCTCTCTTTCTCTCTCCCCTTCTCGGATTATCCTGTAATCATCTCGACCTGTTTGTCTCTCGTTTAATTAAAACTGTCATTGTAGGAATTTTCCTCTGTACGTCCCGTTAAGATTAGTTATGCATGTGTCCATTGTGACGTTTGTTAGTTTGTACCACACACATACAACACACACACACACACACACACACACACACACACACACACACACACACATATATATATATATATACATTGTTTTTATGGTGTGCAGCCAACGTTGCACTTTTGAACTTCGTTTTCGCGTGCAGCCTCACTTTGTACCGTTGTGACACACACGCTGAGGAATTGTGTGATTTTGTACATTCAGGAATACGTAATCAAAACACAGAGAGGTCCACTTCCCGAGAGATCCTGGAGAGTGAGCAGACGTTACAATGACTTCGTACAGCTCAACGCAGCTCTGTCCGTATCTGGCTTCGACCTGCCACTACCGCCAAAAAGGATTATTGGTAACATGGAGCCAGACTTTATAGCTCAGCGACAAATAGCACTGCAGGTTCAACCTAATACAACAATGCTCACTTTTAAATGCGTGCCGCATTTTGTGCGATACGATAAGTAGAAGATAATCCGCCTTTTATTGCAGAATTATCTAAACATAGTACTAATGAATCCTATACTGGCATCTTCGCTTCCCATGAAAAAGTTTTTAGACCCTGAGAATTACACTGCACCGTTACATGGTAAGCCGATTGCTCGCTACTTAAAAAGATTATTGTGGACAGGTGTTAAAGGGATTGAAGCATAATCTACAATCTGTGCTCTTTGCTCCCTGTTTCTTGCTTCTTGTCACTTTTTATCACTCTTGCCTTTTTGCCTCTTATATCCTGATCCACTTTCGGCCGGGATAAAAGTTGACGAACTTTGGAAGAGACAGGAAACACATGATAAGAAATACGATTGCCGATAAAACGATCGACAAAGAGATAAAAAGCAAGATGAAAACAGGAAGCAGAGAGCACATTGTACAAGGTATCCAGCGATCCTTGAATATCCTTGAATCGTGAAATTATTATGGAATTTAATGTATCCTGGAAAATTTCTGGAAAACCCCTAGACTTTCGGGATTGATCTGGAATTTTTGTCATTCTTTTATTCTAAAAAAATCGACCCGTAAAAAAAGAAAGTAATAAAAAATATTTGCAAGGCGGATGTAAGAACTATGCCGATTATACAGGTCGATTATACATGTATTAGTAACGTCGTTTTTTGGAAAAGTTCATGTTTTATAAGTTCTCCCTTAAAGATGCAATAAGGCAAGCAATTTGTAAAGTAACAAATAATATTGTTGTAAATTTGCGTTTTAATTGATTCGTCGTATAGAATCCTAATTTGAATACAAAACATAATATTAAGCAAATCAATGAAAATTAATCGACCTGGAAAAAAACCAGAATTTTTATCTAGAATGTTTTGGAATTATCCTTAAATTGGCTAGCCACATATTGCTGGACACCATGTTGTAGATCCATCTCAAGCATATTACTTATAAAGATGCAATATGTAATGTTATTCAATGAGTTGATCTGATTAAGATCCCTCATGTATATTGACACAAAGGAATCTTTTCAACAATTATTAAGATTTGTTTCTGGATGTTACATGCAAGCGAACGTGCGAAATGAATATTATTCGTCTTTTCTAGAAATCGCACTGCAACAAGTGTCATTAGCATTACGCAGCGATGCCAATTTCGAAGTATGCAAGCCCATCCCCGATATGGGATGGCGATTGAGGAAGCATTATTATACTGTGAAAAATCGTCAAAATCCGAAGCAGGAACTTCTGCTTGCCTGGGTCGAGTTCGGCCCCGATAAGCATTTACAAGATAAAGATATACAGGGGGTTTTCAAGACCCTAGGCTCTCTACGACACACTTACATCGAACCAATAGTACACCAGCATGTTACAGACAACGGGGCACTAACGATAAGAAATTTCTATGCGGCAGGCACATTACGTGACGTTCTATGCATTACTAAGCCTAAGCAGCCGTTCATAAAGAAATATGGAAATCCGAAACAAATAAAAGCGTTAACAGTACAAGAAATTGCCACATACGGTTATCAGGTTAATAATTTTTTTTGTTGTTGCACACAAAAATATATTATAACGAGATACCTTGAGAGATTATTCTTGGATTAACGATATGATTTGTAGATATTAGAGGCTCTAGGATTCCTTCATGAAAAAGGATTACCTTACGGACATTTACACACCGGCAATGTTCTTTTAACACCAAGATGCGCTAAATTGTTGGATATAGAAAATGGACTCCTAGGCTTACCGGCGTTTTACCGGCCTTACGTGGTTCAAAGGCGCAAATTACATGCCACGGTAATATATGGATACAATAATATATATACTTACTCCATATAATTAGTAATTAAATAACAAAGCGATAATTAAATAAAAAAGCGATTATATTAATTTTTCAATTCTCACAAATATTCTGTCCGTGTGAATGTTTCTTTATATTTATTGTTTGATACGTTTTTCTTAACAGACTCAGGTTGATGTATACTCATTTGGACATGTTTTGTACGAAATGACGTTCGGACGACCACTTTTGGAGGCAACGTGCTCCGATTTACCGCATTGCGATGCGAATCTAAAAAATTTGCTGGAGGTTATCCTATCGCCGGAAGCTTTGAAACAGGATCTGCCAACGGTGGTGCGACTGTTGGAACACCCATTCTTCGAATCGGCGAGGCGCGCTGCATTGGCGATTGGCACTGCGGAGAAGCCGTACTTTAAATTGAGTAATCATTTGAAGGAGGCTCTGCAAGAAGCTGTAAACAAAGCCGAGCAACGACTGCGCGATGAACAGAAAGTCGCCCGACATCAGAAGAGGCTTGTCAAGGTTCAAGAAATGATGAGCTCAGAAGAAGAAATGAAAAAGCGAAAGCATAAACTGGTGGGTACAAGCATAAAGTAGAAGTAGAAAGGAGCTTAGAATGAAAAATTATTATTTATTGGATACAAATCTCATTTTTCGATCGTTATATTCTGTCTGCAGAAGAAAGAGCAGAGATTGGCACAAGAACAACGTTCTTCCTCGCAGCTGGGTACGAACGGGACGAAGCAAATAAATGGTAAGAGCCCAGAGCGTTCGGACAGCCCAACAAGTACTTCCACGGCCACCAGCGTTGGAACGTTGACTCCTCCATCGCTTCGTAAGTCATAATGCTCTTCGTTGCTAATGTCGTCAGTGCTAATTGACATTTACGTTTCTACATCTCTTGATTAGCTGGGCACAAAAGTTGATGGCGCGTACTGAGGTCATTCCTTTCACGTAGGTCATTCGAGCATTCAGGTCTTTTTAATGTCTCTAACGAAATCTTCACGGTTATCCTTTTTTTTTTCATTTTGTAAGATTTTTTCTCATCACTTACTTTGTAGGTTTTCCGTGTAAAACGTATTTTTTTTTTTATGACTTTCTCACAATTACACCCTTAGCTTATCTTGTGCATACTATATATTTTTAGATCTCTTGTTGTTGTCTATAGTATATGGTTGTCATCTCTAATTAGCTATGTAGCCTCTCATTTCCTTAAAGAGATAAATTAGAAAATTTGTTTTGTGCTAATGCTACGAAGTCTGTTATTTTGATTTTTTTCCACTAAAGGTTCTGTGGAAATTACGCAAGCAAATGCAGTTCCTGGGAAAGGTGTTCCACCGCCACCTTCGTTGCCACCGCCATGTGAAGCATCCGGTAGTGCGTCGAATAGTGTATCAAACTCATCGAATGATCGTGCTGCTTTACTCGGAAGTATTTGTAATTTTGACAAGACTAGACTGCGAAGGATTACAAATGGACATCGTTAGAAACATTAGGTATATAGATGACAAAAAGAAGTCACGCAGATTTACTTACAAATCTGACGTCACTGCTGTGCAATGTTGAACAAAGAACTTCCCTTGCTTGATTAGGACGAGATAACGTACCTGTAGATTATTACGGACGCTAAGGTTGTCTGGATGATAGCTGTATCGTGCTTCTTGCGACTCCTAATGATACCGAATATTATTTCTCCTCGATCGCGACACTTGCATTTTACGAATTTTTAAAATTTCGACATCTTGTTTATTGACGCTCGCTACGTGGACAAGATTTTTAGCTAAAAGCAAAATTATATTAAGAGTATACTATATTAAATTTGTGATATATATATATATTATGATCGATATTAGTCCCGATATTGGCCTATACTCTGCGTTTTTACGAAACATAATGCAACGCTTGCTTCGTCTATATATTAGATCTGCCGTCCAGGAATCAGCCTAAACGTACAGAACAACCAATCAAAATATCAATTGCTTTAGAAAATTTGACATCTTTACGAGTCGTCTCATATCATGTTCTTTCCATATATATGTGTATACACTAGAAATTACATAATTTAAAAAATATTGTACAATATAATAGTATACAATTGTACATTGTCTAATTTACGGAACACGTGCGTACAGTAATTGTGCTGGGAGCAATTTGAAACATTTTTTAAATTTTATTTCGATTGACTTTTATGACTGCTTGACTGTGTAAATCAAGGCTATACATTCACGATACAATTATTCGAGAAATTCTCAATTTTCTAGTCCAACATATCTTCTTCTTATACAGTTAAATAGCATTATAGAATTTTGTAACATCTTGTTTAACGCGGGCCAAGTTTCGCGATCGATTTTATATTATTGTTGAGGTCAGGTCTTATTTTTCTTTTTCTATATACATGTAATATATCAAATTTGTTTGAAGGAAAAAAAAATGAAAAAGGCAGTGATATAATGGAGTGATAGCATGTACACGTATGTATATTAAGTAAAGTTTCTCTCGTTATACTCATCTACTGTTCTGTCTATTCAAAGTTTATGACATACATAATATATATAAAATTACATAGTTCTCGTTCGTGTTCGTACGGTACAATGCGAGGATCGTACGCGGCTTTTGTATCGCTCCGCCAAGACCGGAATGTGTCCAGTTATTACAAATTAAAAATGTGCCAAGGGGATACGCGGTCTTCGTGTTGATAGATAATATGATACCAGCAGTTGTGTAGGGCATAGCGTAATCTATTTCTATATGTCGGCAACAGTCAAGTGTATGTCCTGTATAATCAATTTGTGGATTATAACGAAAACTGTAATATATAATCACACCTTTTAATATACTTATCACTGTCTTAGATGTATATGGCAACTGTATAATTACGATTCATGGAATATGACTTCTGGCACGGATGACGATGATAATAATTCAAAAGGCATATAGATAATAAAGTAGAAATAAAGACTATATTTATCTCTACTGTTCAGGATATCTATTACATCAGTATCGGCTTCCAAAAGGTTGTCTACATATGTACACTCAAGAGTATAAGAGAGTAAGCTCTTGTAATTTCATGAAATTTTACGTTCGGAATCTACGCAATGAAATCTTGCAGGAAAAATATCGTGACATTACCAGAGTTTATAATATAATGTAATTTGATAATGTAGATATTTTTTTGAAAAAAAAAAAAAACACGTTGGGCCGAAGATAGATATAGATTAAACGTTTATCGGCAACAAAAATACTATTCTTTTACGATGATAAATTGCGTTTATGCACATAGTGATAAAATTTTCAGAATCGATGACTAACGAACTCTCAAAGAGCTCGTTACCTTTGTAATTGGCATTGAATTTTTATGCGTTACTTTAGATTACCCTTTGCAGAGTCATTGCCTTACACATTTGTAAACAGAGGTAGTGTACATAGCATGCAGAAATCGTGTAGAAAACCTTACGTATCTCTAGGGAAGGGAACAAATTTTACGTTTAACTGTTAAGAGAAATGTCAAAACGATAAAACAAACAAGACAGTTTTATTTCAGACGATAGAGAAAGACGATATTTTAATACTTAATAATATATTCAACAAGTATATGATACATATATAAATTTATCACGTTCGAATAGCCCAAAAAATTTTGATAGCAGTCCGTGTGTATAGTATAAAAGTATATGTATTCAACATTGTGTATATATACGCACACGCACGGGAGCGTACATAGATATGCGATTGTCATAATAACAGCTGTTGTAACGACTTAAATATATCGCAATAAATATCCAAAAAACAATCATGCATCATCGGCGAACAAATACATTGGTTTTTTCTTCTTTCACAGCTATCATGGTAAAAAAATGTATTTCCCGTCCATGCTGCATCCATGCTTTTCAAAAGAGTTTTTATGCAAATTATAAAATTACAACTTTTCTCTCTCTCTCTCTCTCTCTCTCTCTCTCGCAAATGATAAGCGAATGTTCCACGCTGTGCATTAGTTGTAATGGTCGTCTATCTTAACTGCAAACGTGAAAGTCTATTACGCGTGTCTCCTAGCAAAACGGAGTATAAATTGGTTAATTGGCACGGTGCTTGTAACGATAGGCGCGAAACATATAATCAATGATGGCCAAGTGTGCGCATTACTCGCGCTAATAGCGACATCTTAGATCTTCAAAATAATGAATGAGTTACTGGCACGATTTTTTGTAATTACGTTATTAAACCTCGGTTGCGATTACGTAGTCTCCGCTTGTACTATCAAAATTTTTATTGACAATCATCATAAAATCATGATTAGCATTATAATTATTCGTACTATGTACATATGTAATATACATATACAAGAAATCTTCTACTTTTGCGCGCGAGAAGTGAGACATCCTGTATATAGATATTTATAAATTATTGTACAAGGCGGTATAGACGTTATCCAAGAAATACACGACTCTCCGAGAAGGAATATATGTAAATATATTGGAGCAAAATGTATCGAAAGCTCTTGTGCACTCTTCCTTCGCTGGAAATCTTCAAAATTATAATCAATTTTATATTCTATATTATATTTTTATATATAAATTTGTTCATCGTCACTATTTTTACAAATTATTAATTATTAATATAAACATTAAAATCTCTGTAGTGAAATCAACAGGAATCACACATGATAAAAATTAATTTTATTACTAGTCTATAGTACTTGAAACTAATAAATAAAAAATAAATCTCATGTTACAGATTATTAAATTTCAATAGATTTCAATTTTATGTTCACCGAATATGTAAAACTGTGGAAGCAAGTGCGTAACTTTTACATTCTATGTAGGCATATCGATCTCTCGGAGAGTTACGAGGAATAATTTAAAAAAACCAATGGAAACGCCATAACTCGCAGTATGACTTCTTATACAATTGATGCTTACATTACGATATTTAATATTGTCAAAAATACTATTATAATACGAATATACGCATTCAAAAGGAAACTGATCTCGCACACATTTACGTTTACATACAAATCTCACTTTTGCTGACATATCAATTTCTTTTTATAATTTTTTGGCAAATTAAGATTAGACGGAGAGATGATGACTGGAAAGGGATCATCTTCGTCATAACTTCGCTTCGTGAAGCTTTTCCGTTGCTGCTTTCAATCTGAAAATATGTTTAAATATGTTTTCGCTTTCTTTGCTTTGCAATGTTCCTTCGAAACATTATTCAATAAACGCTCGAAATATTAATTTAATTTAACGCTACCTTATAAGCTCTTCCTGAATGTGATCAGTTATCGCTTTTCGCGCTTCCATCTCGCTCGCTTGCGACTCGCGCAATTCGGCCAGCAGTCCGCTTAAATCTATGGGCTCGCCGTAATTCATGGTAACTCTTTTTCCCACTTTAAGCATGTACGGCGGCTCGTTGGGAAGTACTTCATCCATACCGAAATGACAGATAGGAATTACAATAGGCGTGACCGGCGATTCTAATATTAATCTACCCACGCCCCATTTCAACCTAAATATCAACAATATCATCGATTGTACATCCTCGCTGACTGTGATATATTACTAACGTGACTTCTGCAACACGCTCGTGTATACTCATCTCAAGCACTACTCTACTTAGAGTTTTAAAAAGTAATCTTCGCGATCTCCTCGAAATATTTTTTTTTCAAGAGAATAAGATAATATATTAATTTAATAATTCATTGTCATCAGAAATATATTCAATTTTTTATCTTCGTTAGCCAATTCAAAGTTTCAGAAATATAAATTACAGATATTTAATACATTTTTAAATACATTAAAATATTCACAGTGGTGGAGCAAATAGACAGAGAGAAATTTTATTTTCAAATTTACCCTAAAAATCATGTTAATCGTGGGACAACTTAATAGTATTTCGATGAATTCTATGTGAGTCTTACTATTTTATTTAATATATACTACAACAAATTTATTGTAGTGCACAAAAAAACAGAAAATCACATAAAATTTGTCGAAATACTATGTTATCCCATGATTAACATGATTTTCAGAGTAAATTTTAAAAGAAAATTCCCTCCGTGTACACTCCGGCAGAATTTTAGATAGCGTTATCAGGTCTCCGAACGAAAGATTGCGGAAAGCAAGTACGAACCTCATTTCTTCCTTAAGCATATTGACTTTTCCCTCAGGGAAGACGTGCACCCAATCGCCAAGAGCCAGCCTTTCGATGCAGAAATCCATGGCTTCCTGATACACGCCGTCGCCTCGGACGACGGGTATGCACTTGCCGAGCATGAAAAAGTAGGAATGCCAGACATTCGTGAAACAAATGTCATGCGCGGCGAGCGACCATCGCATCTTAGATCGGCTAAACCCGTGCCGGCAGTCCAGGGTCGCTAAATGAGTTCAGAGATTTTTCTGTCTTAAATTCTTTCATTCGATCGCATATCGGCGTCGTTCTGAGAAAGAAAAACACGTCTCAGAAGAGGAAGAAGGCGCATATAAAAGAATGTCGTGACTACAGAAAACTATCATTTGTCTCAAGAGAAGAAAAGAAAAAGAAAAAAAAACGAGTCCGCAAAAGAATGTGCTTTTGTTGCTTTTAATTATCGACGCATGCAATTAAAATGCCCGAGAACACAATGGAATCAAGAACAAAGATGATAAGATAATGAAGAATGTACGATAAACGGGGCATCGATAAACGAAGGCGCAGATAGGCACGCTTACTGTATCTCATTATTGTCAACTGGTGGACGCGCTTATCGTCATTGTTCTGCATTCACGGCTAATCGGTACCCGCAGCTTAATCGTTTCATCGTTATTATTTATCGTCATCGTTAATGCACGCTCCAAGATGAGATTATTGCGACTCGAGTAATTCAGAAGAGAAACAAATCTAATGCGTCAGCTATTTAAATAACTCAATTAAAAAATTAATCTAAAAATTTTAACTGAGTAATTTAATTTAAAAGATGACAATTTTTCCAGAGGGGCCAGATTTTAATCTAATCTCAACAACCGGATGCGCGTCGGTCCCCGACATCGTCGACGATGCGGCATTGTTTTGTCCTTACGTTTCATTGCGTCCGCGGCTCTAACTGCCCGCGACCCGGGATCGTAAAGAGTGCCTCGGAGCATGCTGTTTTATTAGGCGGCCAACGGACGCGGCACTTTACACCCCGCACGATTCGTACGTACGTTCGCGCGCGCACACGCGGCATTTTATTTTTCTCAATTTCTCGAGACGATAAATCAGCCGCGGCGCGGCGGCGCAACGCGCGGGGTCTTAAGGCCTGCGCGAGGCTGAGCGCGGGGAGGGGGCGGAGGACTGATGATATGTTATTATATGCGCAATGCCGAAAGGCATTTAACAAACGACGTGAAGGGGGGGGGGAGGAAAAAAGGAAGTCTCTTACCCCATATACCCGGATCGTCGAAGCAACTGTGATGATTCGACACGGTAATGAGCGGAACGTTTTTCGGCCGGAGGTCTAAGGCGCTCACGATAATGTGCTTGTTGTACACCGTCGTTTTGTTCAGCCATTCTTAAATGCAGAAGAGAAAGATTTTTTTTTTATTAGATTACGCCCAGACACAGAGAGAGAGCGGTATTCGGTCGCGGTACAGCGGAGTCCGAGGGAAGTGGTGCGCTTCGGTCCCTTGGATTCTTGACTTGACGCACGACGCGAAAAATCATTGGGGTTTAATCGGTGTCGCGCCCCTGTTAATTTGGGAGATTTAGGAAATTAGACCTTCGCCTGCAGACGCGCGCGATCAAAGATACTGTATACGCGGAAACGATCCTCTTTCAAAACCGCTCCGATTTCCATTGCCTTACGTCGCAAGTTATCTCGACGTTATCCGCTTCAATTATCTGCTGATCGTTTTTTTATGAATTTATGATCGTTTTAAATCAAGAGACGCAGTAGCGACTACTGCCAAGTATATTTTATCGCTACATGACGATCATTACATAAACAGACAGACGGACGGGGAGAGAGAGAGAGAGAGAGAAGGAATTTAATGATCGCTAATGCTATGATTAAGTTAACGATGGTTAATGCCTATGAATAAAAAGAGTAAGAGATTTTATCCCTTGAGAAACGTGCGAAATTTATGTATATTAAGTTGCCGTGCGTCGCAGAAGGCCTTTGTTGCAAGTCGGAAAGTATATGACTAACCTTTAGACCCACAACGTATGTAAATTGATAAACGTTTATACGTAAATGCATAAATTACCATAGTATTTGTCGAATTTTTTCTCAATAAGTAAAAAGGACAATGTAAGAAGAGATAAAACTTACGTACACAAGTATTATGTAATTTTTCGAGTGACTCGATAAAATTTTATTAAAATGACACAAATATCATGTATATAAATGCGAAAATAAAATCAATGTTATTATTGCACAATAAATAATTTATCGTGTGAAAATGTTATCAAAAAATAAGATATTTATTTGCGTAAAAAAAATTAAAAATAAACTTAACATAACTAAAAGTTTACATAAAAATAATTTTATTCATACTTATTTTCACCGATTGCAATTTATTTTTATAGAATTGCCCTAGTTTATCATATTGCAACTTAATTAAAAATATGTGGGTGTTCCGAAATTCTGGAACTAAAGTATCACAGTAAGAAAAAATAAGTTCTGAAGGTATTTGCTGTTTTTCATTTCAAGCAGTAATTTTTAAGATATAAAAGTTTTGAAACTGGCCAAGAATTGGAATTATTGTAATAAAATAATGACTTGTCTATATGTTACTTGATTGTAATTACTCAAATCTTATTCACATTTTCTATTAATATTATCATATGCAAATTAATAACAAAGTACGTATAGCGATATAATTCTGACAAAATAAATTTCTAACAGAAAGTTATCTTATTCATTTTGTTTATTATGTTAGTTTATTAATTACTGCTTATTAACAGCATTGACTAATGTGCAACAAATATTACATGCAAATATTACACTGACGTTACGCAATCTTTGCCTAATGCCTATGAAATGTGCGCTAAAGTATTTTCTTAGACGATTAATATTGTTATTGTACAATTTATTGTACAATTATAATTATACAATATTATTGATAATCCCTCTAAACAATTTAATATAATTCTCAGCATAACTTACGATCAAATTACGCAATAATTTAGCTAATTCTTCTTAGGAGTTTAACGTCGGACTTTGATCTTGTAATTAGCGACATGTATCAATTGTATTAGACAACATTTTTTCTAACGATAGTCAGTCGGTATTTCATCACCAGCAGCAAACCAAGCCATGATTTAATAAAGACGAATTCTATAAATTTTTAAACTGAATGATCATGTCATTTTCTTAAGTGCAGAAACAGCTATTATTAAGGTTATCATTCTACGTGTGACGAGCACTTTTTGATTTTTTAGCACCTTAGTTTCTTTTAAAAGATCATGTGATCAAAAGTGACCACTCAAGTTCCATTATTCAGCGTTAATTTAGATAACGTAATTTATTAATGCTAAGAATGAAATTAATCTTCATAAATTAGTACCTTGTTGCGCAGTAGTATACCCGCCGCAAACCAATATTTTCAAAGTTGCGCAATATGTTTCAAATAACTTTTTATTGACACAATATATTGCACAAATCAATATTACCTCCAAACGGACATATAATATTATGCAATATAAAATATCGTTCAATAATATGATCGCTCAGAGACTATCGACGCGCGAGTTATAGGCCGTCATTTAATCGTAATCTAGAATCGGTCGGTTTCAGAGTCATTTTCAAACTTTCTATAAAAATTTCTAGAGTTCTCAGAAGCTAATACTCAAAATGCAAAATAGTAAATTATCTTTATAAATTATTTTTTCAAAAAACTTTCTTACTGTAGTATTTCGACTCAAAAATTTCGGAACACCTCGTATCACTAATATGTAATTGTAATTTGATATAATAAAAAAAATATTTTTTATCCTCAACTCTTACTTTAAAATGAGATGCAACAAAAAAATGCATTTCAGCAATCTTGTGAATTATGTTCAGCTGTAATAATTTTTCTACTCGATTATTCAGCAATTCTGAATGCAAATATAATAATCTTAAAACTTGTACGCATATATTTATATCCGTTTATTCTAAACATTTTAACTTGAACATATAAAAATTTGAGAAAGAAGTATTGTTTCCATGTAACAAGTGGCATGCAAGAATCTGTAAATCACTGTTACGTTGCATGATGGATTGTTTTGCATGCTAAGTCCAAGATAATTCAAAACCAAGAGTGCCTTCTTTTTAGAACTTTAGTTATTTACTACTTTACACACAGTCGTAGAGAACGTATGTACATGAGAAACAGTTCATTCAGCAAGCAATAGCTACTGTAATTAACCACAATGATTGATGATGATACAATGACTTTGACCTCTTTCTCCCTCTTCCTCTCTCACTCTCTCTCTCTCTCTCTCTAGCAAAATAATATTGACAGATAAGGCTTACTTTCATCATCTTATATCGCGCAACTCGCGTAATTGCACGCGGACGCGTGATCGTACTGCATATACTCCACGGTACTTGCGATTCAATTTTTCTTTCCTCTCTTTAACAACGTCGACGTTTTCAGCACACTTAACCTTCATTATTCACACAATGCGGTATACGTGTCGCGAGACGATATAGGCGACCATGCTCCGGTATTTCCGGAGCGCACGGACGACGACGATCCAATCCTCCGTCAATGTCAATGAGACATGCCGTAGCGGGTGCTATTATATTTGTATTTAACCTTCGATCTCGCGGCCGAACGTGTGGCAATGGCTCTCGCGTGCATACGCGAAACGTAGACACGAAGGGGAATATTCGCACCGTCTAACCCGTGTCGCGCGGAATCAGACTCGGAACCACCACTCGGCGAACCGTACCGACTCGCACGCGATACCCATTTTTGGTGTCGCGTAGCGCTGATAAAATCCCGCGCGCGTGGACCGGCACGCGGGGAACACCGGACGTGCTCTTACCTATGATGATTTTCGAAAAAATGCCCACCGCTATGAAGGTTAAGTTACTCGCGATGTTCCACAGCCGGCTCGGGTTCCGTAGTTGCGGTATGATCCACTTGATGTCGTATACCATCGCGTCGACGGCCACTACCGTTCCCGACGACTGAGGAGAGCGGACGGCGACGCGGCGGTTGTCTGAACGATCGGGAAACGGCTTCCCCGCGATAGATCGTCCGGTCTTTCGTAACGCGCGGCAGCCATCTTCGTGGCGAGTCCGCGCGCCATGTTTCGCCGACGCGAGTCACGTGGCCGCGCGGGCGTAGCCGACGGCGGCCGATCGCGGCCGAGCGTGCAGCGCCGCGCCGCGTCGCGCCGTG